TATCCGCGTACGAAATACCTTTTTTTATAACTTGCATTACACACCTCTTAAGATGTTTTGAACATGTTTAAAAATAGAGAAATTGAATCACATTATTGCTAGCCTATTGTAAGGTACTAATTAAAAAAAAAATATTGTACCAAAAAATTACTTATTAAAAATACACTATTAAAATGATGAAAATGCCCCTACCTTATTTGATGTATTATTCTGGGATGCCTTTGAAGTTTTTTGTCTTAGGGGCATTTTTGTCTAAATATTTTTGTTGAATCTTGGTGACACCAAAATCACTATTCACCTTTTTGTGTTGGCTTTATATATAGAAGATATAATTTTTTGAAGCAAAGATGACATTATATTATTGAAAACCCATTCAGATACAATGGATGTAAAATGGAAATCAAGCAAAGGGGAAGAATGGAAGGATCAGGCGAGTCAAATTAGTAAAATTACACATAAAATTTGATCTATGATATTTTAAATATTCTATATTTTAAAATTTTTAACTAGTAAATCTTAATTATTGTATCTTTGACCAACCAGTAAGTTACAAATGTTTGAAGATTTTCTTTTCAAAATAACTACCACTCCCACATGCCAAGCTCTCTGTAGTTGTGGATCCTAAATGAGTTCAAATATGTTTTATAAAAGTAGTATTATTTTTTTATAAATAAATTGCGTTTTGAAATTGGTTAGTAGCTTGTATTAAACAAATTAAACGATGTGCATGTCAAACAGTGGGTATTAATTATTTTCTTATAAATAATTTGTGTGTTTTGAAGTAGGTTAGTAGTTTGTATTAAACAAATTAAACTATGTGCAAATCAAACTGTGGGTATTAGTTTACTTTAAGCACATCATCTCAACAATTACTTAATACTATGATCTAGTAGTATTCATTTTCACTTGTAAGTAAGAGGTCTTAAGTTCGATTGTCTCTAAAGGCGATTTGACCCACATTATTACTAACCAATTATGAGGCTTAGCCCACTCCCCTATCTTTTAATATAGATAATATCGTTTATTCGAAAAAAGTAAAAAAATGTACATCATTTCAATAGTCATAAAAAGATTAGATTAAATACATATAATGTTCTAAAAGACGTTAGACGTTAGACGTTAGACGGGACCTAGGTGGGGGCCTAGGCGAATTTATGTAAATTTATTTTATATCATATCAATAAGGTCTTATTTTTACTTTAAAAAGATACGTAATTCTATTGAGAGATAAAAATTGTAAAATAAAACGAACTATAAGTTATAAAGTATTAAAAAATATTGAAAACATGAGGAAAAACCATATAATAAGTGGTTATTTGAGTATTCAACAAGTTTCTTATATTTTATTAAAAAACTAAAATGCAAAATGAAAGTTATTATATAAGTTAGAGTAGCAACCTAAACGGGACTAGGTAAACGTTCGAGCAAGTTAGACGGACGCTTAAGTAAATTTTGGTGCATTTTCTTAATTCTCAAACTTCTAATAGTTAATGAGAACGAGAGACGTTAAGTAGAGATTTTTTAGAATAGTGAATACATATGTTCAAACAAATTATATACAAGCGTTGGATAATATTAGGAATGAGTCTGCACTGACGAAGTAGATTACTGGAAATGGAATGGAAGGCAAAGACAAGAAGTCCGGAAATCACGGTTAATGACGAAAGGGGGTTAACTGATTAGCGACTGTAATCCGCGGGCGAAAGCGTCAGAGACCGACAGACAAACAGGGTCCCATTTGGGAGTGAGGTGGGTCCCATCCCACTGAAGGCTTTTGAGTTTGAGGAATTTGGTGGCACATGGAAAACTTGCACAAAGTTTACGTGTACTCGAATACTGGAGACAAGAACCAGTGACATGTGGGTCCCAAGCCCTTCTTTCTGAATAAGTATCTTTTCGTGATGATTTCGGGATTCGTGTATTTTATTCATTCATATGCCATTAGAAATTATTTTTTATTATTTAAAATTAAACAAGAATGATATTTAATAGAAAATAATTACGTAGTATATGATAATCAAATACTATTCATAAATCTCCTAAATTCTTACAAAAAAAGATCCGAAAGGATCCGGATTCCTTCTTCCCTTCGCTTCACGGCTTCCTTTCAGCTTCTAGACTTGTAGATCTAGTAGGTTGGTCGAAACTCTACAGTGTTCTACATAGGAAGGAGCATGGAGATTTCTTCAACCTAAAATATCTACTCCACGTCACTTCATGTGATGTCATTTTGAGCTAAGCATTAATTAGTGTACTCTCGCATATGAACTAAATTACTTTTTTTTTTTAATAAACAATATTATTTACATTAAAAGTATTATTAGTAGATTAAATTTTATAATAAATTAACAATAATGTAATTCAAATTCTTCGTTAGCGAGAATTGAATTTAAAACCTCTTATTTATCAGTGAAAAAGAATATTACTAGACCGTAATACTAAGTAATTTCCTTTTTTTTTTTAGCAATTTTAATTAGATAGAGTATCTCAATAAAAACTATAATTATTTATATCCAATTTTATTATAAAAAATGTGGAATATTCTGATTTGACTTCTTAACCTCAATATAAAACGGAGACAACGATAATAGGTTCACTAAACATATACAAACCACATGTTTAGGTTTACTAGCAAGAGAGTTTCATGTGCTTAGGTTCACTAACTAAAGCAGAACAGTAAATCATAAAATAATATATATATATATATATATATATATATATATATGAAGGCAGGGATCTGGTTTAGGACATGTGATTTATAATTAGAAGTAAATGGTAGCATGTTAGGTAAAGTTTAAAATATGAAAATAGAAAACACTTTAAGATCACTCCACTCTCTTTAGATAACGGATTTTTTCGATGCATGTGTATCCTACTCTCATCTCAAAACTCAGCCTTAGAAAAACTGTAGGTTTTCACTTCATTTGTTAGAAAGATTAGGCCGCTCACTAAATTAAATATCACACAATCTTGCTAATTTAATTATAAAAAAAAAAAAAAAAAAACAAGACATAATACTACGTATCACTAAAGAAAACCCCTCTAAACAACGTAAGCTACAAACATATAACTATATTTATTTATTTATTTTGTCGTCGTTAAAATTGTTGTGGCATTTAGAGACTGGATAAATGGATTAATAATGGCAATTTAAAAAATAAAACAAAATTATGTACAGTGCTAAACGAATGAATGAATGAAATGAAATCAAGGCCTTCGGCTCTTGCTCTTTACTTTACCAAACAGGCAACCAAAATTAACAAATGGTATGGTATGCTTTTGCATTTATTTTGGAACGTTTCTTCAGTCTTCTACATTTAGTTTGTCTTTGAGCCTCCCTAGTTTTCGGATGAGGATCCTCTTCGAATTTTTTTTTTTGTGGAGATCCTAGGGATGCTCACATCGTGGTTGTTTATCATATATCGTACGATTAATTTTCATCATGTACTATTTGTATTTAATTTTAAATAAAAAAATCAAATGATTTATGACCGCACGATGTACGATAAATGGTTAACATGTGAGGACCTCTAGGATTCTCATAATTTGGATCCGAATGGAATCCAAATCCTAGTTTTCTTGGGAATTTGATCTTCACCTCTCTCAAAGAAGAAATGTTTTAATTGAAATATTAACAAGCACAGTGCAAAACAAGATGTTTCTTTGCATGATTGTAAATTATTTTATACTCTTTTCTTATATCATTGGTTATTTCTATTTTTTATTTTATGGATACGAATTAGGCGAGACTATCTCTTAGTCACTATGTTATCTTTACTTTGTGTTTCTTGTTCCAGAATATTCATTTGCAGATTATCATGGAGGTTCCTTAAATATTAGTCTTGGAGACAACTTGACTCAAGACTTGGAAGACAATTTGACGATATTATGGGCTGGACGTCCTTGTTATGAATGAAGTTAGCGGAATTGGTGATAGATAGATTGTAAATTGGATTGGAAAAGCTGTTGATTCAATTTGACTAAGCCCTAGTTTGATACTGAAGTGATTCTGGAAAAAGTGGCTATAAAAAAAATTGAGAGTTTTTTTATGTTTGTAAACATTCAGCTTTAGCTTTTTTCACAGTTTTGGGTGAAAAAAAAGCCAAAAACACAAAGATGCAAAACCTAACTTTGAAAAACCAACTTTTTTCATATCTGTTTTACATAAAAATTTATCAAACACTATAATACTGCCTTTTTTTTTTTTTCCAAAAGCACTTTTACAAAAAAGTTTACCAAACACTTTACTGCTTTATTTCACAGCTGCTTATTCTCACAGCACAGCAAAATCAGTTTTTTTTAAAGCACAATAATACCAAACCAGCCCTAAGCTTCCTCTTAAGATATAAATTGTATGTATGACGCTTTTTTTTTTTTCTAAATCTTAAATTTTTGTCCCACGTGATTTTTTTTTTTAAATGTTTTTCTTTTTTAACTAAAACTCACTTCACTTCACTAATATGCAACCCGTCGACAGAATTATCAATATTAAGGAAGACTTTGTGTTCTCATCATAGGTTTGAAGATTTTAGCGTATTTTTTGTTTCTTTATACCGCGTGATACTATTTTCAGACAACATATTTTTTTATAATATAATTTTAATTGCTGATTTTACTTTTGCTTTTATACTATTTTATGATGCCACGAATAAAACACCTTTCTAGTAAAAAATATTATATATAAATAAAATAATAAAATCAAAGTTAAAAAATAATAAAAATGATGAGACGGATCCAAGGTCGGAACTGGACCGACAATGGGGGCCAAGCTTTGAGTTTCAAGCATTGAAATCACCAAACGACACTTTTCCATCCATCACACGCTGCCACGGGGACAAATCACAGTCATTCTTTCCTACCACGTGTTCACTGCCCACTGGCCGTATCATTTTGCCGGCCATATTCTCCCTCTCACCATTATATATTGTGCAGGGGCAGCAAGAAGCCGGCTAAAATCTTGCTGGTCAATCTATCACAGTGAAGCAAAAACCAAAAGCAAAGCAAAAGCTCCCAAAATGTCACCGGAAGTTAAGCAGCAGTCGCCGGCCGGACTGAACTACGACGAGACCAAGCTGACCTTAGGGTTGCCTGGTTCGGGCTCGAAACGTGGATTTTCAGAGACGGTTGATCTTAGTCTGGGGAGCTCAAGCTCATCATCGTCAGGAGCAAGGGTGGAATGTTGTGATCAAGGTTGTGTTGATGATGGTGGGGTCACTACTCATAAGGCTCCAGCTGCAAAGTAAGTTTGTCCAGATTAACTTATTGTACAATTCATTTACATGAAAATTGAAATGCTTTCGATATTCTAAACTGCTCTAATATGACGGAAAAACCAACTTAGGTGAAAGGTACGGACGTGCTATCCTGGCCAACTGACCTGAATTTTCTTTAATATTTTGAGTTGTTTGAGGGGAGTTTTTTTATTTTTTTTATTTTTTTTGATGGCCACATGAATATTGAAATGGGTTTTAAGGATGCTCATATGAAATTACTGTACTATTTACGTGAAAATTTGAAATGGTTTTTCTTTGATTGTCAAACTTTTAATGTGTTTGATGGAAAATTTACATGAAAACTGAAAAGGGTTTTCTTTCAATTTTATTATTACAATGTGTTTTGATGGACATTCTTTGTGAATATTTCAGGGCACAAGTGGTTGGTTGGCCACCGGTGAGAGTTTCAAGGAAGAAGTTGATGAAGAGCTGCAAGTATGTGAAAGTGGCAGTTGATGGAGCTCCATATCTGCGCAAGGTTGATCTTGAGATGTACAATAGCTATCAGCAGCTTTTGGGTGCTCTTGAGGACATGTTTTCCTTCTTAACCATCCGTATGTACCTAACGCGTTATCTCTACTTTCTAAAATTTCTAGAATCCTAGGTTTTTATCTTCATTTTTCGAAAGATCCAACGGTGCAATGTACATCCTAGAACGAACACATGGATGTGCAGTCAAAGATCTAATAGCTAAAGATTCAACGGCCAAGAATCACGATGCATGCTATGCTTTGGTTTTTTTTTTGTTTTTTATTTTTTGTTTTTTAAACCGATGTCCTAGTTTTCGTGTCTCATGGTGTATTGCTGTTACCGCAGGTAATTGCTTAAATGAGAGCAAGCTTATGGACCCTGCAAATGGAGTGGAATATGTACCAACTTATGAAGACAGAGATGGGGACTGGATGCTGGTGGGAGATGTACCATGGAAGTAAGCTTTCGATCTCTCGTCTAATGTTACCACAAAAATCCATACATTCACGTAGTCTGAAAATTGTACATATTTACTTAATACTGATCCCTTTTTTATTCTTTGAATAGAATGTTTGTGGAAACATGCAAGCGACTCCGGTTGATGAAAAGCTCGGAGGCGATCGGATTAGCTCCGAGCACGCCTCCGCGATGCAGAAGCACAAATTGAAGGAGGCTCTCTCCTGTTGTTTGGGGAGTTTTGATTAGATTAGATATAAAAAAAAATGACAAAAATAAAGTTTGCATTTTGCCAATTTTGGCATTTAATGCACCTGATGATGGAGGGCTTTCTCCCCAATTTTGGGTTTATCACACTTTTTTCTTCTTTTTTACTTGGATTGTATACTTAATTAGATACACACTAATATCTATTTAGATTTTTATTTTTGTTTCTGCATATTTTAAGCTTCGATATCGGTTTCAGAGACCATATATTTTGTTTCTTTGTTTTTTTTTTTCTGAGATTAGCATTTAAATTCAATTTAAAATGAGACGAGCGTGGTCAGATTCCTTAGGTTTTTGCATCAAGTTCTCAATGGAATCTGAAAATATAACTCTTGGCGGGAGTTATTATTAGAATTTCGAAAAAGTCATTCACTTCAAACAACTTATAAAAACACAAAGGAAACGTTCATATAAGGAAATGTGTAGGATGACCATTTTGAAGAAAACTTGTCGCTCTCAGTTTTACCACTTTCATGGGGATTAAGAGGAAATTTTTCTTCCTGATTTTTCCATTGGACAATATACGCAAGTTAACACTCATATTTCATTTAACATTATTTGAATCTAGTGTGTTATCCAAACCAAATCAGTTCTAGACAACAAACGAGGCCTAGTTTCTTCAATTTATTCTTAGCGACACAAGATTTTTTTAATTTTTATGTTTTGAAAAAAAGGTAAATTCATTACCAACAAAACATAATTAGAAGAAAGAAGGTCCAAGTACGATATACACACATTCAAAATATGGACCACCAAAGGAAAAAGAGGGAAGCCCAAAATTAGACTTTTGAGCCCAAACAATGCCGTCGGCACGGCGCTTTCCACCCAACAGAAACCAACGTCCCCTGCAAACCTCTGAAATCAAGCCATACACAGCCCCATACATGGATGAAGAAGACTCCAAATTCCATCAGAGAGCACAACATCGTTCGCCACCGCGCAACGAAAGAAACCAGTGGGAAGAAACGCACTAGCATCTGTGCCATCAAAAACACTCTAAAGGAAGGAGGTGGTGTAAACACCCGAGCCGAAGCTCTGAACACCTTCAGAGAGATCCACGAGAAATCGCGTTGTAATTGCAAAAAAGTGAATTGAGAATAAGCGGGTGACAAACTGAATTGTTGGATCAATGAAAGATGAAGCCGATTGAAAGAAACGATAAGAAGTGGATTAGGGCAAATCGTGTAGGTGGGAGGAGGAGGAGGAGGAGGAGGAGTTTTGGGGGAATGAAAATAGGGATTGGGCACAGTGACAAATGCAGAAGGGGTTGTAGGAAAATAACTACCGAACCAAAAGGGAGGGGAAAACAGAAGCTGTCGGAGAGGCAAAGAAACCGGAAGAAGAAAAGGGAGGAGAAGAGGACTAGGGCTGGCGGCTAGACGGAGGATGAGGTAGCGACACAAGATTTTGAACAACCAAGCAGCGAATCCTTCACAAGTTTTATTACCAATTTGCCAAATGGATACTGGCGGGAATTGTAATTGCACAATATTTCTTTACATTGAAATGTTTTTCATTACATGATGCTTCTGTAAGACCAGCCACCCCTACCAAATGACATCTCCAATAAATCAAAATTGGGATTCAATGGATCTCATCTCTCAAACTATTTCACCTAGTTACCAAGGATAGGGTTCCTTCCCTCATCGATTTCCACGACGATGAGGTGCTTTGGGTCCGACCCTTCTGGTCCTTCAGAGTAAAGGGTGGGAAGGTAGGCATTGTATGCTGGCAAGTATCGCGAAACAAAGTCTTTTACCTGCAAAATCGAGCTCTCAGAAAGAAAACATCAGTTTCAGGTTATGGAACTGACTTCAGATTCTGAAGACAGCTTATAAGATAGAAATATAGATAGACTGGCAACCTCATCATCGGACATTCCCGGATTCCCTGCCTCTCTCATGGCAATCTCAGCCTGCAAGTTTGGGGCAACACTAGTAAATTAAAAAATCACAGTAGAAAAAAGAACTTAAAGAACAGGTAACCTGCAAACGCCATTGGTAGACACAGCTCGGGTCCTTGATCTTGATAATTATCCATGCTTTAATGAACTTGTACCACGCATCATAATACACTTCAAGATTTTTATTTACCGTCTCTAGCTGTTTAGTGGAAAGTTAAATTTAAGAACCGTCTTTAGTATACTGAAAACCGCTGATGAAGTTTGTGCACAGCACAAGTAATATCAACAAAGCCAATCAAAATATTTTCTGTTTTCTAACCTGTGAATCAACTGCTTTGACAACTTCCATGGGAAGGGGTTTGAAACCAAGCATCCAACCTTCAAAGAGAACAACCTACATGCCCAGCCAAAACCCAAATAAATTGCAAGGTGAATAATGCTATTCTATAAAAAACCGACCAATACCACCTATTATTACTTCTGAAAAACACTTCAACATAGCATTTGTCTGCCCCTGATTCTTGATATGTTCAAACATCTATCTTCATACAATCAGGTAGCTATATGGGCGATACAATTTGCATCAACTTAAGCCACTGACTGCGAGATATAATGAAAAATCCTCTTAAAAACTTACTGTAAGTGGCCCTTCAACCTCTGGCCATGTTGAAGGATCAGCCCTGTCGCCTTTTCCACTGTAAGCAGACTGCAACAGGAAACAAGTTATAAAGAGCCACTTTGAACTAAAATCTGGTTTAGAGAAATAATGAAGAAGGAAAGCAATTTTCTCAGTTGTGCACCTTATCATATCGGGGTAGCTTCATCTTCATACCTGAACAATTTTTTATGTGAATAATTATAAAACAGGCATGCTTCTGTAGCAGAGGAAAATGAATGATGGAGAATCACCTTCTTTACTTAATTTAGTTAGAGCAGACAGTGTTTCAACAGAGAATGGAAGATCGTGACTGCCTGCATTTCCACGTAACTACAGAAACAGAAGAACAAGACATGTTATTGCTAAGAAAACGTTTTCAGCTCCTAGTGAGTTACAATGTCAACTATCAGTTGAATTACTTGAAAAGGAATTGATTGCTACCTCTAAAAGTGCATTTCCTGGATTTTCTTCTCTTAGTTTAGCCTACAAATAGTACAATATCCCATTAGAAAACAAAAATATAAAGAAAAATGCAACACAAATCCCCCGCTCAAACATACCTGACCCTCTGCCGTCAAATAAAAGTCATCAATGGATATTGAGGCAGACTTCCTGAGAATTGAACATACAGTAAGCAAAACCAAATTCCTTTATTTTTCATGAATAATCTGGAGTATCAGTTGTTCATAGCTAACCTGCCCGTGACTTTGAAAAGATAACCAAGAGCAAAGACAAGTGTAGTCTTTCCACAACCTTGTGGTGCACTGAAACCAATCTGCATCACAGACCAAAAATCAGCACCACACAATGAAACAAAACGAAAATATAAGAATGGCACAAATGAAATCATTGATGTGGAGACCGATTATCTTAAAGTACAAAAAATGACGGGGGATAATATGAATAGAAAGTGATGTACCACTAGGGGTGGAATGTCATCTCCATCTTTGTACAAAGATCTGTGCTGAGATATCTGATCCTCACACCAAAAAAATACCGGAATATAGTAGTGATACAACCTAACTTTCTGAGGCTCGTTCAGATACAATTCATTGAGCTGAAACAGCCGGCACAGGTGCAACCCATATGCCAACCACTTGTCAATGGACTCCGCCACTGCTTCTGGGGTCAGACCCAATTTGTCTATCAAAGGACCTGAGCATATAAATTTAAAAAGGTCCTGCACAGAAGAAACTGCTGCAGGCTCCGTAGGAAACACAGAATACAATGGACCCTCCCCACAATCACTGCTGGCAGAATTGTTGTGACGCATGGTGTTGTCTTGCATCCAGGAACATCCACTGCCTGCAAGTAGAATCCCGAACATAGAAAGAGGTGAAGACCAGTCATGAGCCTGCCGACACCATTACAAATTATTTTGCAGTGACAAAATTTCAATTGCAGCATTCAGACCATTTTGCTTGACCCATTAGTCATAATTCACGTCGTAAATCTATCTGCCAACCTAAATCCATGTACTATTTAATTTCAACGAACAAAAGTTTCTTTCCTTCTAATTTTGTTAAATCAAAGGACAATAATACTCTTCAAAACCAAAATAATAAAAAATTTATTCAGAATGTACTACTAACAAAAGATGGCACACGACCATAATTAGGACCTAGAACTAGTACTGCTGTAAGACTAGTTAACCCTCCCAAATCAGCAATTCAACATACAACTGAACAATAAACTTGACAGTAGTTAGGAGATCTTTAGCTTCAACAAGAAGTGTAGTCATATCCTAGTAAGAATTAAGAAAAGCACACTAGAGTCAGTTGAATAACATGGGTAGGGATCATGAGCACATAATCCACCCCAACTAGCTAACGCATACACCTCAATATCAGTTAAATCCGAGGAAGAGATGGGAACTTTTTTTAAAATTCAGGTTTCAACCAATGGAAGATATAGAATTTTTAAAGGAACGCTTGACACAAAATATGGATAAGTGAGGCGGCAATACAAAAACCCAAGTGCAACTAGTTAAACAAGCTCGTTACCCATTAAACTCCACAAAGAGATAAGAGCGGAACTAATAAGCTCAGAAATATATAAAAGTCCATCCAAAGATACAAACTCTTCAAAAGTTGATATGAGCATATCATGACCGAAATTGAAGGAATCCATCCACAAGGCTTTTAATAAATGATGCCTGATGAAACACATTGCAGCAAAATGCTAATATCTTAGACTTATTGTGTTGGAAATTAGACACACTGCACTAAAATGTCAAGGGTAAGCTAGGAAGACCAAAATTTTAAACCAAATGATTTGTCACCAATAAGAAATAAACACGTTAATCAACGATTAAGTAATAATCCAATCATCAACAAACACATCATTTGGTTTGTAAATTTGGTTTAAAAAATTTGGTCACCCTAGCATTATCCAAATGCCAATATCTTAGACTTATTGTGTTGGAAACTGGACACACCTTTTCATTGGTGTTGGCTTGCATTCTAATTTTCTTCAATAAACACAGTTTTATTGCAAAAATATCCCAAGTGAAAATTGTTATTTCAAAACTTAAACTGGGCTCAAAATTCTTGCGGAGACTTGGAAAGAGACTTTAAGAAAAGACACAGAGTACTTGAGCTAATGGAAGACAAGGCGCAAAACTGAGCACAGTGGCGTTCTAGTATTCATACAACAGACCTCATTTAGTGGGATAAGGCTTTGTTATTGATGTGTGTCAGTGAAATTAACCTTATGACATGTATGGGCTCCTTTCAGGGTACCCTGGTGTCAGGACGAACACCGGTGGAGTAACCGATTTCTGCCAATCAACCATTCAACAATCCCTTTAAATAACAATGCACTTGTTGATCAATGTTAATTATCCCATCACAAAAGCTAAATAAAACAAAACAACATTATATTGCAAGAATATTTGGTTTTGGTTCTTTATTTGAGAAATTAACAAAGGAGCATCCCATATTCAATTCCAAAAATTGGTAACTTTTCTTTCACAATCAAAAGCAGAATGATATGAAGGTTACAGGAATCAAATTCACATTGAACAGTAGAAAAAACAGAAGTGAAAAAATGAAATTACATCCGGAAACAGAAAAATTACCAGACTTGGAGAATTGGGAGGGCATTGGAGAGACCTTGGATGGTGGGTTTGGTCCATTGAGTGAGGAGACAGCTGAGTGGCGATAAGAATGTAATTTACTATTATTAGCATTGGACTTATTATTATTATAATTATTTAAAATATAAAAAGAATTATTATTGGAATTGGAAGCATAGAGAGATGTTGTGGGCGGCCATGGCTGAGATAAGATGTTCACAGCTGCCATCTTCATCGCGCTCTCTCTCTCTCTCTCTCTCCCTCCCTCCTCCTCTCCCTTTCTCTGTTGATTATGTTTTCTAACCAGAAACCAGTGGTTATGTGGAGTGGAAGCGGGCAAGATTTGCTGAAAAAAATCTTGATTCTGCTAAGGTACTAAAACATCCTTATTTATTACTGTTGTCTCTTTCCTTTTAGGAGTGGATTGTCTGCTCTCCCATTTCCATACTCTTACCATGCTTTCTTGTAATGTGTGATCACAGTTAAATCACATCAATATTTTATATTAATTTTTTATAGAAATAATAAAATAAAAAGTAATAGGAATATAAAATGTTGACGCGGCTTAACCGTGACCATACAAACAGGAAAGCATGGGGAGAGCATGGAAATGGAAGGGCGGACAATCCACCTCCTTCCTTTAAACATACATCTTCAAATTACTACAGTGCGTTGTTATTCTTCTTCACTTGTAAACGAGAGGTTTTATGTTCGATTCCTGACAAATTAGACCATATTATTACTAGCGTGAGGCAAAACTCAACCTCATCTCCTTTAATGATAATATCGTTTATTAAAATAAAATACAATTCAAAAATTAAAAAATTAAAAAAAGAGCAATTAGCAAATTTCTTTTTTGGGACAGAAAACAAACTTCATTAAAGATAAATGGAGAATTAAGATAAAGGGAGAATTACAAATGTTATAGATGGGGCCAAGTCCAAACAAAATACAATACCCTTAAAAAACAAAAACAGATAAAAGAGTAAAAAGAGTCATGTGTTATAAATATGTCAAAGTTAGAAAGATAACATTTTAATGGTAGGTGAGAGGCAGATATAAAATGTCACACTAAAACTATAGCACAAGAGGATAACAAATAAATACGGAGGAATAGATGATGTTATTGATCTTTCTTTCATTATGTCTGTACATTTCTCTATATCTTTTTATTGCAGTCGAGTGCTCTATTTATAGAACAACTCATATTACTACATTTAAAATTTACAACACACTTTTGACAATATGATATCTTGCATTCCCAAGTCAGTTTTCAATTTGTTATGGGAATTGACTGGGTGTGTGTGTAGTTATAAACAATGCCAATGTTAAAAACCAATCTGTGAGGGCATTGAAAAACTCCACCAAGACACTGTGGGCATTCACTACCCATTAGCATTTTCAACACTTCCCCTTGGATGCCCACATATCAATGTCATTTGTCTCGTTAAAACCTTGCTTAGAAAAACTCAGTGGGAAAAAACAATAGCGAAGGAAAAAGAGTATAACTTTTCCTGGATTGTTAATATAGTGTTAAGTATACTTATGTTGCCTCGTTAAAACCTTGATAGGAAAAACCCAATGGGAAAAATCCTAGTCGAAGGAAAAAGAGTACAACAAGCATGTATCATGGATGCTCCCCCTGATATATATCTCCCTTTAATTCCGTATTCTCCAAATTTAGCTGTTTGGTAAGTCGACGCAATCCGATACTTTGCACTAACTTCTGAAACGTGCACTTTGGTAGAGATTTGGTGAACAAGTTTGCCAAATTTTCATTTGAACGGATTTGTCTGATTTCAATAACTTTAGCCTTCTAAAGCTCATGTGCACTGAAAAACTTTGGAAATATGTGTTTAGTCTTATCGCCCTTGATGAATCCTTCCTTCATTTGGGCAACACAGGCTGCATTATCTTCATGGATGACAGTTGGATTATCTGTATTCGAAGTTCGACCACATGAATTCCGGATATGATGGATCATTGATCTTAACCAAGAACATTCACGACTTGTTTCATGTAAAGCAAGTATTTCTGAATGATTTGAAGATGTAGCAACTAATGTTTGCTTGGTTGAGCGCCATGAGATTGCTGTATCTTTATTCTTAAACACATATCCAGTTTGTGAGCGAGCTTTATGCAGATCAGAGAGAAAACCAGCATCTGCATATCCAACAAGGACCTGGTCATTTGTGGAGTTCTTTGAGTAGAAGAGACCCATGTCTGTTGTCCCACGAAGGTATCGCAATACATCTTTGATACCCTTCCAATGACGAATTGTTGGAGCAGAGTTATACCTTGCTAACAAGTTAACTGAAAGAGTTATATCTGGTCTAGTACATTGTGCTAAATACAACAAAGCACCTACTGCACTCAAATATGGTATTTCTGGACCAAGGAGCAGTTCATCATCTTCTTTTGGACGGAATGGATCTTTCTTAATATCCAAAGAACGAACAACCATTGACGTGAGTGGATAAGCCTTGTCCATATCAAATCGCTTCAGAATTTTTTCAATGTAAGCTAATTGGTGGACCAAAATTTCACTAACACAATGCTCGATCTGCAGGCCGAGACAAAATTTTGTTTTTCCAAGGTCTTTCATTTCAAATTCGCTTTTCAGATATTCAGCAGTTTTATTGAGCTATTCAGGAGTTCCAACTAGATTCATATCATCAACATATATTGCCACTATAGCGAATCCAGAATTGGATTTCTTAATGAACACACAAGGACAAATGACATTGTTGATATACCCTTCTTTGATCAAATACTCACTGAAACGATTATACCACATTCGTCCAGATTGTTTTAGCTCATACAATGATCGCCTTAATTTGATCGAGAGCATACCTCATGGTTTGTTACTTGTTTCAGGCAACGTAAGTCATTCTGGGACTTTCATATAGATGTCAGTATCTAATTCTCCATATAGATACGCGGTGATGACATCTATAAGTCGCATGTCAAGTCTTTCTGAAATCACTAAACTTATTAAGTAACGGAACGTAATTGCGTCCATTACAGGAGCGTATGTCTCCTCATAATCAATTCCAGGTCTTTGAGAAAAACCTTGTGCAACGAGTCGTGTTTTGTATCTTGCAATCTCGTTTTTCTCATTGCGTTTCCTTGTGAATACCCATTTGTAACCCACAGGGTTTACACCAGGCGGGGTTTGGACTACTCCTCCAAAAACATTCTGTCTTTCCAAGGAATTTAATTCTGCCTGGATAGCATCTTTCCACTTAGGCCAATCTTGTCTCTGTTTGCATTCATCAACAGAGTGAGGCTCAATATCATCACTTAAGATGATTTCAGTGGCTACTGCGAATGCAAACATGTCATCGATGATTATTTCATTCTGATCCCATAATTCATTTGTACATGCATAATTTATAGAGATTTCTTTACTTTCATGTACTTCTGTCTCTTCAGGGACATGTGTCTCATCAAAGACATTATCTTTTTCTGAAAGTCCAGAATAATGAATTATGGATTTATCATTCATTTTCTCTTCCTGAATGATTTTATTTGGATTCAGTTGTGCCCTCGACTTTCTCTTTCGAGGGGCTGAATATTTAGAACCTGGGGGTCTACCACGCTTCAGGCGTGCACCAGATGAATCATTTGCGGCCACTTTATTTTGTCCAACAGGGACATCAATTCTTGCAGGTGCATTTGCAGCTAGTATATGTGATTTTGTCACTCTCATAGCATCATTAAATGCATCTGGCATTTAATTGACAATGCTTTGAAGATGAACGATCCTTCTCACTTCATTTTCACATTGAATGTTGCGAAGATCAAAATGAGACAAGGTGGGAACAACCCATGTCAGCTCTTTCCGTTCTTCTGGAACGGTATTTTCTCCTTCTAACGACGGGAAGACTGTCTCATCAAAGTAACAATCAGCAAAACGAGCTATAAACATATCACCTGTCAAGGGTTCGAAATATCTAATGATGGATGGTGGATCAAAACCCACGTAAATTCCCAGTCTACGTTGATGTCCCATTTTAGTGCGTTGCAGCGGTGCAATAGGCACATAAACAACACAACCAAAAACTCATAGATGTGAAATGTTTGGCTGATGTCTAAACACGAGTTGTACTGAGGAGTATTGATGGTTGGCTATAGGTCTCAATCGAACCAATGATGCAGCATGTAAAATGGCACGTCTCCATGCAGAGACTGGCAATTTGGTTTTCATAAGCAGAGTGCGAGCTATTAACTGAAGCCGCTTGATCAATGCTTCTGCTAAGCCATTTTGAGTATAGACATAAGGAACATGGTGTTCAACATCAATGCCCAATGTTATGCAATAATCATCAAAGGTTTGCGACGTAAATTCACCATCGTTATCAAGTCGGATTGACTTAATGGAATAATCTAGGAACTGTGCTCGTAACTTAATTATTTAAGTAAGAAGTCTCTCAAAGGCTACATTTCGAGTAGACAAAAGACAAACATGTGACCATCGGGTAGATGCATCAACTAAAACCATAAAATATCAAAATGGTCCACATGATGGTTGAATAGGCCCACAAATATCCCCTTGAATTCTTTGCAGAAATGATGGGATTCAGCATCAACATTTAGTTGTGATGGTCTAATTACCAACTTCCCTTGAGAACAAGCTTTGCAAAGATTATCATTTGAGATAGCAATGTGTCTGTTCACTAATAGATGTCCATTAGAGTTAGTAATGACCTACGCATTATGATGGATCCTGGATGACTCAGACGGTCATGTCAAAGCATGTAAACCTTTGAATCAATGAACTTCTGGTTCATGACAGTATGTGATTCAATTGTCCTTATGTATGTATAATACAATCCACTCGACAAATCACGCAACTTCTCCAATGTACGCTTCTAGGTATCATTAGAGGTCATGCATAGATACTCAACATTTTCTGCACTTTTTGTTTCAATGTGGTATCCATTTAAACGTATGTCTTTGAAACTCAACAAATTTTGAGTAGATCGAGTAGCATACAATGCATTCTGTATGGAAAATATTGTTCCATTTGGTAACATAATATGGGCTTTCCCTGAGCCTTCAGTTACATCTGAAGGTCCTGATATTGTTGTTACCTCTACTCTTGTAAGTATTAAGCTTGAGAAATACTTTCGATCACAAAGTATTGTATGTGTGGTTACGCCGTCTGCAAGACAAATATTTTCGCTATTTCTCATGTTCTGAGAATAACTACAGTTTTTATCCATGCTCTCTGAGTAAGAGAATCAGAGTTAAAAACAAGTTATAACAAGAAATTTACATGCCACTTTTATTGAATTTGAAATACTACAAGTTCAGCATA